GCAGAACAGAAAGCTGGGAGGCAACTTTTAAAAATAAAGACATAAGCACATTTTACATGTTTTGTTTGCTGGATTTCTTTTTTCTCTCTGACAATTCTATTCTTTTTATCCTCCTGCCTGCCTAAATGTAATTGAGTTTAGGATTCCTTTCTTTTTGCAGCAGCCTCTCCTCTGTTTGCAGGAGAAGCTTGGCTCCTAGGAGGCAGGTTTGTCCACAGTGGCACTGTGGCCCTGCCGTGGCTGGAGCAGCAGATGTCTGGGTCACTCTGTGCCAGTGTCCCTTCCCCAGGAGCATGGCCACCCTGGAGAGCCCCAGACACACACGGGGTGCTCAGTGAGGAGCAGCTGAGTGCACAGAGCCACGCTGGTTCCACCATGTGGACAGCTCCAGCAGGCCAGGGTGTTTCAGAAACACTGGAAAAGCTGTTTAGGTCTAGTTTTCCCCTGCATTTTTAATAAATGTGCTGTGAAAACCAAGTCCTGCAGATGCGTATGCATAGGACTGACCTGTGCACCCACATGTAGTCCTGGAGTGAGACTCTGTGTCCTCTTTCCATGTCCCCTCTCCCCTCATCCCCAGCTGCTTGGTGCTGACTGGCAAAGCAGTGCTTTGAACCAAAGGAAGGAATACAGGAGTCCTGCAGCCAGACTTCTCTGAAACGTTTCCTAGTATTCCTCTGCCCACTTTGGCAGCTGATTATTAATGGCTCTGAAAATCTTTGGGTGAGTGCTGTTGGGCCCCTGTATTGAGTGCTGGTGTTTATTTTGGTGTCTCCAGCTGGCTCAGGAGTGCTTTTGTTAGCCAGTGGTCCTGGACTCTCATTCCCACTGCCAGGCCCAGCTGCATATGGATGTCCTGAGCACCAGGGGTGTGCAAGCTGGCCAGGGCAGGCAGCTCCCCTCCATTGTTTGCAGTATCAGTTGAGATCAAATGGGAGAAATGAATGTGATAAACAGAAAAAGAGAAGGTGTAGATGTCCCAGTCTGGACTGTGGAGTTGGGCAGGGTTTGTAGCTAACTACATCAAGTGAGCGCTCTGGGTTTTTTTCATGCTCTTTGCATGAGACTTCCAAACTTCTGTGTTTGATTTTTTGGGTTTTCCCCACTCTTTCTTTGTTCACCCTTTAGGTCACTTGATATCCAGTGTTTCCAGCATTCTTGGTAGGCAAAGGTGTGTTGGCAGGCATTGTTTTGCTCGTGCACCTCCTGTGTGGTGGGTGCCTGCCTTGGACTGAGGGAGATCAGAGGAAGGCAGAAGAAGCTCCTGTTGTCCTCAGTGAAAGGTGTGCTCCAAGGGACGAGCAAAGGCCTGGGAGCTCCTGGTGCCATAGCTGCTGACATGGTTTCAGTGCACTTTTTGAGAAACAGGTGTGTCAGTTGCTGCAGGAGTTCATTGTCAGAGATAATGAGAGTTGCGAGTACGTGAGAGATCTTAGTTAGGAAGAAAATCAATGGTAAAGCAATGTTTCAATCTATAGCCTGAGTAAGTAATTTACTTTTGAAATCTAGTTGTGCTCAGAGGTGAAGCCATTTCCATTCAGGTTTTGTTGAATCACAGTATTGGAGTCGTAAGTCAGTGTTGGGAAGGTTTTGTTTTGTTTGTGTAAGAAGCCCTTCCAATAACTCCTCAAACTCCTCACAGCTGTTTTCTTTGTGTCTGATTTTAAAAAGTGGCATTTTTTACAAAATATATTTGAATTTTATTTTGCAATCAGTAAAAGGCTCCTCTTTAGCATGGAATATACACATTGCAGACTATTTAACTGGAAGCCAATTTTTTTTTTGAGCATATATTTTATGAATAAGTTACTAGTATCACCTATTCTTATTGTAGATATACTGCTGTAAATAATGTGATGACTTGTATGACTTGTACCTCTGTGGGAGTTTTGCAGTGGCTAACACCATGAGACATTAAACCTCTCTCTAAAATACATGAAAAAAAAGAAATTACATAAAAATCTTTCTTTGAGAAACAGAGACAGGGAAAAAAAAATAAAGACAGCTGGGGGAAACATGTTTCTGTTGATTTGAGAATTCATGTTTTATTTTGTCTAGCAATCAATATGCATTTTTTTATTTTTAGAAAATAAAAATACATCATCTGATTTCCAATTTGAAAAAAGCCAGAAGACCTATGTTTCCATATTCCACACGGTTTCATTTTGCACTCCCAATTTTGAGTTTGTGTGTCCTGTTTTCAATACAAACATCAGTGTTGAAATCCACTACTTTTGTAGATTTTTCTTTTAAAAGGACAAAGATGCTGATTTCAGTTCAGATATGTAAAGCAAGAGCCGTGACTCTTGGTGGAGGAAGAAGCATGGTAGCTTCTGGAATGGCAGCATCAGACCCTGAGTAGCGTTCTCTGCAGTAGCCTGTGCTGGGCAGGCTCATCCTCCACAGCACAATGTGCTCTCCCATTTGCTGTACCTCTATTTAATTTGTCTCATCTGTGGCACAGCCTCCTCTAAAGAACTCGAGCTTCAGATGAAAATGTAGTTCCCAGGCAGAAAGGAACTGCAGTAAAAGTAGTTGTACTACTAGTTTGTCCTATGATTAATAGCAAGACTTGCTTAGAAGTTAGTCTTTGATTTCCTCTGTTTAATTGTAGCCCTAAGTGAAATGGGTTTTTGATTTATAGAAAATGCAAAATTAGGTACAGAAAGTTTTAAATTACAGTAACAGTAAAAAATTTCCCACAATAATCATCCCATATTGTTTCAATTCAAAAGAGCTAGGGCTTGATTTGTGTGGGAAAGAATCCATAGCAGCCAAGTTCCACATTTGAAACTGGGGAGAGGGGAGGATCAATTACCCTCTTTTGTGAGTATAAAAATATGCCTGAACTTCACTATGTAATACTTTTATCATATACTCCCTCTTTGGAAGGGTGTGTGTTGATTAATTAATTTAGAATAGCTCTTTTCTTACATGGATACCCTGTAAAAGCAAGCAGAAAAATTGTGTTCAAACATACAAGAACATCAGTTAAAAAAGCAAAAGCTTTAGGAACAGCAGTGGCTTGTAATTATGATGGAAAACTGATCTATTCTGTTTTATAATATTTGCATTATGCAGAATGGTTCTATAAACTGTGAAAGCTCTAACATAGTTCAATAACAGTAGCTTTAATAATAGTAGTTTAATTCCTAAGCCACTTTTTGGAAGTTCTACATGGCTGATCTCACTTTTGCTGCACTGTATTTGTGGTGACTTTTTCTTTCATTAGACTGCAATGCCTATGTGTGTTTGCAGCCCTAATCCTGGGTGTTGAGATTCTGGATAGTTAAAATATATTCAGTATCATTGAAGCTATTCTGGAGTAAATGACTTTGATTTAATGGATGAGACCAAATTCTGCTCTATTTACAGGGATAAATGCTGAAAAACACTGATCTGACCCATGCAAGTTTGCATGTGAGTTCCTGAGAATAGGAGTTTGGGCCCTTTATATTTTTTTTTTTGTTTACCACAACACAGTTAAAAATTATTCTGAAAATAATAATGCAGTTGTTATCCTGTTGGCCAGCTTGGTGGTTTTTAAAATCCTGCTTCACAGTCTCCCCTCACATACAGTTTTATTTGGAGTACACTGAGTTTACAGTTTGGATGTAAAGTGCTGCTTCTATTCCATTTGATTTGGCATGACCGAGATGTAAAATCTAAACATAAAGTGTAGTATTGATCCATTTATAAGCATTTTCAAATTGTACTGCACTTTTGGATAATTTATTGTTGTAGGATTTCAAAGTCAGGTGAGCTCTGCATTTGTGCTGTAGCCTGACAGTTTAATCAAGATACAAATTTAGAAACAAATCAGCACTGTCTTTTATACAGTGCCTCTAAATCCTTGGTAATTTGTACCAGACCTCGGTAACAGGAAAGGATCGCCGTTTCATGCTACCAATACCAGTGGGTGTTGCTCCCCAGCTGCATCTTATAAGAGAAGATGCAAGAGAAATTAAAGGATCCCCACATGCATTTTTCTGTAATGTACCTTTTGCAGAATACAAGGCTGATGGAAAATTCCCTTGAATCCAGTGTGCAAGCCAGCTGTAAATAGTGCCATATGTTCTGCATGCTGTAACTCCTACCTTTTGAGAGCACCGGGCAGTTTTTAAATCAGCTTTCTTTACTTTGTAGTTTTGGAACGTTTTTAAAAACGTAAGCGCTTGTAGTCTGCAAGCTCAGAGCGGGGAGGGGAGAGCTCAAGTGCTGCTGGTGCCTACCCTGGCTGCCTCAGGACTCTGCCAGAGGCCTGTTTCGGGGAGCTGTGCCCTGCCAGGACGTCCCTTGCAGCACGAGCTCGTCCCTGCATGCTCAGCTCCAGCGGATCCGAGCTATAGGCTGAGGCTGTGTGCACTGGCAGCACAGATGGAGTGTGCTCTCATTAGGACTGTTTGTTGCCTGTTGGAACACACAGCATATTTCTACCGTGGCATCAACAGTTTCTAAGAACTGAGGTCAAAATAAACAGGTTGCAGTTGGATTCAGGAACAGTCTGGGAAACAACTTAAAATTCCCTGCTTAGGCATAACCATATTCCTAGATAGGTGGGTAAAAAGGCATTCTCGTAGCAAGGGCTCATCTGAATTGATTCAGTGTGGAGTTGCAGAGGCACAGCCAGTGAATTTTCTACAGATATTGGCAAAATTGACCTTATTTTAAATAAATGAGCAAATTTAAGCCCAGCACTGCTGCACTGTTTTTCCTGGTTTTTGTAGTGCTCGAGCAAAGTGAAAGCAGTGTCCTGGTGCCCGTTTGGAAGGTGCCTGTTCTCACCAGGCCTCAGCCTCCAGTGCAGGCGCGGGCGTTGCTGAAGGTCCTGGCGTGCTCGGGCTCTGCGCAGGAGCAGAGCTGGCAGACAGCCTCTGGCAAGGCTCCTGGAGGCTGCTTGAAGTTGTTACTGCCCCAAACTCCCCACCCCACCCTTTCCCTGGGGATTAGTGCTTCCTCAGCAGAACCTGCACCTGAGCTGCCTCATTGCAAACCCGCAGGTCCTGCTCTGGCCCTTGGAAAGGCATCGCTGGCTGTGGAGCTGCTGCAGCTCGCCCGAGGTCTGAGCCTGTGGATTCAGCATGGAGCCCTCATCCCCAGCAGCCACTGGAGCCTGTGGATTCAGCATGGAGCCCTCATCTCCAGCAGCCAGGTGGAGCAGCCCACTGAGAAAAGGGAGTTTGGTGCGTGACTGCAAGATTCACCAGTGCCTCTTCCGCAGCTGGTAAGTATTCACAGGATCAGCCCATACACACACTCACCGTCCAGGTGACAGCCTGGCCCCGCAGGCATGAGGGAGTTTTAGCCAGCGATATCAGTGAATGCAGGGTTTCATTTGTAGTGTTTAAAAAGCCTGTAAAATTTTTTGAAACAGGACAAATACTTGTGATGATTTTGGCTTGAGTGGAGATGTAAATAGATTCGCTTCCTGATAGAATCAGCAACTTGTAAGAGTTTATTCATATTAACCTGGTCACAGTTCATTTGCAGCCAGAGGAACTATCCTGTTTGTTGAGCTGCAAACACACAAAAGTGCAGAAATCTGCTAGATGTTAGAAAATGTTCTCATGGGTTTGGTTAGAAAATGTTCTCATGGGACTTGGGTTTTTTTTGGGCAGGGAGGGTTAATTCTAACTCTAGTTTCGGTGGTTAAAATTTAAAAAAAATATAATTTCTTTCCTTTTCAGAAATGAAACATTATTGAGCTGTACGGTGTGCATAACAGTAGATGGCTAATACAGATATGTGTAGTGGAGTAGTGAAAAGAGGAGTCAAAAGAATTATGAAAATTTTGAAGACTGATATGGAAAGATGTGTATAATTGTCTAAAAGGAAGGGTGAAAAAGAAAACCTCCTCATATGCTTTGCTGCTACCAGTTTACTGCTGTTGCCGTTCTTACTTCCCATGGCACGAGGTGTTCAGTGGTCTGTATTACAATCACATAATAATATTATCATCCCTTACTTTTCTGCAGTGACAGAGAAGCAGCACTCCTAGAATACCTTGTTTATAGGATGATCTTACTGTCTCCACGAGGTTTTCTTGGTTCCTGCTGCTGTTCTCCATATGCTTCTCCACACAGTTTGTGTATAACAATGTGCCTTTCCATCCTTGACCCTGGCAGGTCTTGTGCAGCCTCATTCATCCTGACCCAGCACCTCTTCCCTGCTCACAGACAGCTGCTGAGCCTCAAGCTCTTCACTGACTGTGAATGCAGTTGGGAACACTCTCCTCCCCCCCACTTTTAAGTTGGCTCTCAAAGCCCATCGCAGATGGTCTGTACCTCATACATAATAAAGATTTTTTTTTTTTCTTCTGAGGCGGGTTTGTGTGAATGTGAGAGGCAGACAGTCTGGCAAGCTTAGACCTGTGTTTTTATATTTTTTTTTTCTAAGTGAGCCTTGAGGGATTTGTTTGCCATAATTTGAAACCCCTTAATAGCTTATAGAGCTCAGTAATATCTTGGTTCCAGAGGCTGGAACCTGATTTGTCCATTTGATATTTTCTAAGGGGAAGTTACACGCATTGGCAGAATGGAGTTAGGGCCCAGCTGGACAAGACAAAGAAATTAAGCAGAAGTATTCCAGGAGCTAAAGCAGTTGCTTTAGGCAGGTGGTCTTCTAATAAGAGTATGGTAGGTTTGTGCTCACTGTGTGTGTGAGTGCTTTGGGGTCACCTGTTATAGCTGTATATTTCTAACTGCTTGTAAGACTTGTTTCAGCAAATTCTGTCCCATTTTCTGACTTGAGCAGTAAAGTCTGTGTACCAAAATGTCCTCAGAACCTCATGTAAGAGCCTAAGGAGCATTTTCAAATGTCAGATAATTTGGGTTCTAGGTAGCTCAACATGCTGCTTGTTAGTTCCTTTGTGTATGGTTGTATTGGTGGTGTAATGCTCAGCATTCCAGTGGCCATAAAAACAGGTCCATGTGTGGAAATCTGCTTCATGGGCCAGGCTGCCAGTGGGTTCTGGGTTTCTGTTCTGCATGCAAGCTGCCATAGGGCTCTTCCTGAGCTCTGCACTATGCTTTGGGAGCTGGAAATGTAGAACATATGCAGGAGGAAAGTAATGGAAGTACATTTATACCAGCAGTTTCAGCAGTGGTTTTGACCTCAGTGAGAAAAGATATGTCAAGGTGAGATATGGAATTGTGTGTTTTAAAAGATAAGGGGAAAATGTCCTAAACTAAATTGGATTTTGTTCATGATGGAGAAAAAATTAACAAGTATTTCGCTCCTCTTGTGCATGTTAAATGCTGTGTGTGTGTGTGTGTTGTTACTCAGTGTATAGAACAGTAAAGTCCAAACCCAACCTGTGAGCTGTAGAGTATTTGCTGAAATACTTTGAGGTTCAGCTGTCTGAAACTTTTGGCTCTCAGAGGGAAAAGTCCCATGGGTGTCAGATAAGACATTTCCCGGGGCCTGAAGGGTGTCAAGGGTAAGGGTCTCTGAGAAGTGAGCAGAGCAAATAAAATCTTTTGAGAAGAGAAGAGCTCCAGAGAACGTTCCAGTTAGGCAGCAATGGTCAGCAGCAAAAGGGGGTCATAGGCTCTTCCTTCAGAGTGGAAGGACCTTGGGAGGCATCTGGTCCAGCCTCCTGCTCAAAGCTGGGCCAGCTGAGAGCAGGTGGTTCAAGGCTTTGTTCAGTTGGGTCATGGAAGCCTCTGAGTATGGATTCTGCACAGCCCCTTCCTGCTTGCCTGACTTGATGGCAGGAAGGTTTTCCATTGTTTCTAACTTGAACCTTTCATATTTCAGATCCTGGCTGTTGTCCCGTGTTCTCCCACCACACACCAGTGTGAATAACCTGACTCTGGCTTCTCCTGGCCTCCTGTTGGGTGTGGAGGGGCTGCCACCAGAGCCTGCTTGGGTCCCTTAGCCCCTTCTCACAGGGCTGGGGGTCACTGTGGGGGTCCCTGTCACTCTGCCTACACTGCAGTATTGCTCAGCAGGCCGAGGGCTGGCACAGGAGCCTCTCAGGACAGTGCTGGGGCTGACCCATGCTGTCCCATGGGCTGCTGGCACCAGGAAGGCACAGTGGCCCCCTGGGAGCTGCATCACTCCTGACCAGCCCCTTTAAGGGGTGTGGGTGTTTTTGCTGACCATCTGCTGGAAGCAGTGCCAGGAGCTGATGCTGTTGGCTGGCCTTGGCCTTCACAGCAAATTCCTGGGTTAATAGTGTGGTGTTACTAATTTCAGGTATTAATATAGAAAAATATTAGCATGGATTCGAAAATAATGTCATAGTTTAAATGCTAGAAGATGTTAGAGCAGTGTAGAGTTTCTTTGCAGAGTGGTTTTTGAGCTGCTGAGTACAGGTTTTAAGCATACAACACAACAGTTAGAGATATACTTAGTCTTAAAAATTGTTAGGTGTCATGTAATTGCATAACGGCAGCACCCAAGGCTTTAAGAACAATACTGAGTATCATGAAATTGTGATTTGATTTTAAAATAAAGCAGCATCGATAAGATCAAGAATCTGCTGCTTTTGTAAAGCAAATGTTCATCTAAGAGGGGTTTTTTCAAATAGTGAACCACGTCTGTAAAGTTCTGAAATGATAGCTGCTATTATGTGCTCATCTGCTTGGCACAGTAATTAAAGTATACATTAATGCTGTGAGACACGTGTTTAGAAGTATGGATTAAAATTAATCACCCTGCCCCTATAGAAATTGCTTGATGAGTCCAACAGCATATGTGCTGCTATAGAAAGCTGTGAGTTAGTGTATTGTACATGGGTACAGTTACATTTAGTATTTCATATGTTTTATTAAATATAAGTACAATAATACATTCAATTTTATTAAAGCTACCGAGCTGGGTTATTTACATATTTTTCCAGTGTGGGAGAGGAATTTTTACAGGTAAAACTTGCACCTTAATAACCCCTAAAGATAGAATTGCCAAGCAGCTCAAATGCCGCTCAAGGAGTCTTTGAGGTGTCTGCAAGCATTGTGTGAGCAGGGCAGCAGGAATTCCTGCCTCTGTGAGGTGGGGCTCACCCAGGGCCAGCCTGGCACATCCACAGTGGGTTTCTCATGGAGCACCAGTGTGCTGAGATGAGCTGTGTGGGGGAGGCCCTTGGCTGCTGAGAGAGAGTGATAATTCTGCACCCACTGATGAGTTTTAGCTTAGATTTAAGCTTGCAATGTTCATTCCATCTCCATCTTCCTGGGCATAGGACAGGAAGCTGGAGAAGTCTCCAGTGTGAGTTTACAGCCTGTGCAGTTATCAAGTGAAGTGCCACCTCAGCCTGTACCATGGTTACTCTGCCTGCCAGAAAATCTTGGTAAATATTCCACAAGATGCTTGAGAGGCCGTGATTCACTGGGTCAGGTTTGCTCTGTTCCTTTGTGAGGTGGAAGTGGAGGAGCAGGCGCGGTGAGCACTCAGAGCACTGCTCACTGCATCAGTGCAGGGAGCTGCTCTGCCTCCCCAGCTGTGCAGGGAGCAGCTGGAGAGCTGCTGCTGTTCCTGGGGGCACAGAGCAGTGTCCCAGCAAAGGGCACCGCTCCTGCAGTGCCATTGTGGAGCTCATGGATTGAGAGGGTGAAGCAGCGAGCAGCGGGCTGAGGACACAGAAAGAGCAGAATCCTTGTCTGGGGCATTGTTTGGGAATCACCACCCTTGCAAACTTAAAATGTGTGCACAAAATGTGTTTTGTTCTTTGCTGCTTACAACTCCAACATATGACCCAGTTCAAAAAGTGGTTGTTTTTGCAAAGCTCTGACTTTATACTCTCACTGGTCTACGGACCTCTTTGTGTGTTCAAGATCTAAATGCAGCATGCAGGCAGCCTTTCTCTTACAGCTAATATTGATATCCTGCCCCAGAGTTACAAAAGCAGAGAAAAGAAAACCCTTAGGGACATTTACTGCTTCAGTTGATACATATTTGCCTGTTTCTGGGTGGTGAAAGTTGTTATTTTTATTATTTTTGCAGCATATCAGCCTGGAGGTAGTCACCCTGTCAGGAGTGTAAAATTTACAGCAGAAATTATTTTAATGCTGGAAAAGCTCTTACTCATCTGAACCATCATTCAAAATGCACAGTGAAAGTCGCCAAGGAGAAGTTTTCCATCCCACTGTCTGCAGGACTCCTGCAGGTCTTCTGATGCTTAAGGTAAGATTTAAAATAAAGAACAAACAACTTAGTTGCAAAGTAGAAGCTGGTGCAAAGCATGGAGGTATAATTCTAAGGCAGAGAGGATCCTTTTGTGCATTGACTCCTGTCTATAGGAGCAATGGCATTGTTAGAAAATTTCAGTGCAAAATTTGTTTAAATAATTAAAGCAGAAAGAACAATAAGCCCAAGTTTACTACCAGAATTACATATATATAAATATATATGTATATATAAAGAAATTGCTTAGTATTAAGAAATAAAAGGATGTATTAAGTTTTCTTTATTCTTTTGAAAATATGTGTCAAAGCACAGAAGTGTTCAACTATGAAAAATAAGTGTTAGCATAAGAAGGGAAAATAGGAGCCACTGGGTAGGACAATGTATTTTGTTTTGCTTAGCTCCTGAGCAATAGCTGTAATATAGAAATAGCTGCATAAACTGTGTACAGGTTATGCCATTGTTTGTCCTTAGTGCTTTTGGTTTGTGTTTTGTAGTGGTGTCCATTACATTCAGTGAATCAAACCCTTCCAGTGTATTTCCTTATTTCTCTGTCAGTGTAGTACAGGCAGCTGGGGTGTCATCAGGATCCCTTCTCCATGACTGTAGCCATAGGATTTTATATAAAGAGCATTTTCCAGAGGCTATCAGTATGTTCTCTTATACATGACTTTTTTTCTCTGTTTTGTTTTAGATTATGTATATAACTAAAACACATTCCAGAAACTTTGTTTTCTAAATGTGTGTTGGGCACAGTTGTTAATGTTGCAGGTGTTCACATTCAGGGCAATATAAAATGCTGCTTATGACAAATGAAAAATAATGGAATGCTCTCTTCATAGCCCTAGGAGTTTGGCTTGGGCCTACAAACAGACATGATTTTCCATTTGTTTATAGACAGACAAGTTTATAATTAAGGCAGTAATGGGCATAAGGATTCTTGCAGCCTTTGTAGCTCATCTTTCTTGTAAGCATCAAAGAGAATATTTGTGGTCGAACACACAGTAATAAGTGTGGGGGAATCAACAGCATGCAGATCCATTTGTTTATTTATTTATTGAATCTGGTTATCCCCTATCCTCCCATCATATGTGCCTCTGCAATAAAGGCAAAGCATTCCTATTTTCCCTCATTGCTATCACTCCAAATGCTGTAGATAAGAATGATAGCTGGACACAAGTACCACACTGTGCACCCCAGAACACCAGAGGTATTAATGAACACAGGCAAAGACTTGTGTAACCATTACATCAGTGTCCTATTTCTGGAAATGACTCTGTAAATTACCATTTGGCTGAGGAATCCATCGTGCTGATCTGGAGCCTGCATGGCCCAACTGTGGATTACATCAAGCACATGAAAAAGCTGCCCAGGAATCCTGGCACAGAATGAGATTATTTTGTTTTGCATAGAAAACCTGTGTGTTCATGCATACATGTATACAATAAATATGTAAAGTGGTTTGGATTGCCTGTGTCTGAGAGCAGAGCCCTGTACGGGGCAGATCTTTAAGCTTCAGGGGTTGTACATGTTTTATGTCAGCTCTGAGGCAGTTGAGGTGAGCTGGAATGTCAGTCTTGGGGGGTCACTGGTGTGTGAGAGTTGCCACAACACAGCTTCTCTAAGAGCCCTTAGAGAATCTGTGATTTGATTCCTCTCCCAGCTTGGTCCAAACCAGCTTGTGTTTATTGGCTGTGAAGCCCATTTATGTCTGCCTCACCTGGGGACAGCAGTTCGGGGCTGTGTATCTGATGAAAAAGTACTTGGGGGTCAGGAGATTTGAGGCTTTTAATCTAGAGAGATGACTTCTATGGAGGAAATGTTACCAGTTTGATGATTTTTGTCGTGGTTTATGTCTTTAGTTAGTGCCAGCAGTGTTAAAAAGCTGAGATTTGTGTGTCCATATATTTTACACTGAATTTAAAACACAAATATCTCATCATAAGAGTCTTCTTTTTTAAAAATGGAGAGAAAGAAAAACTATCAGTCTGGTTAAGAGGTGGTTGTTCTTATTAAGAAAACAGTGAGTTCTTACTGCTACCTCTGATGTATCTAAGTCTAGTAATACATGTATCTCTTTAGTACTAGACCTCAGAATAAATTGCAACATCAGGAACTAAATTAAAATCTTCTAAAACTTGATCCTCATATATTTTTAAGGAAGTGGTCTATTCCAAGCACTCTAATGTATGAAGTCTTGTTAAGATTAAAGTCTCTGGAGGCTGAAGTTCATTTTGTGAGGAAGAAACCCAGTTAACAATAAAATCAGGTAATGACAAATTATATTGTCACAAATAATTAAAATAAATTCGTATTCAGAACATCATCAGTGTATACAATAAATAATAGCTGAGAGGAAAGGGTGACCCCATGCTTGTTAAATTGCTTGAAAGTTAATTTGGATGTGTTCAGGTGAATAAAGAGGTTTAGTTGTGTGGGATTTTTTTCCCTTAGCTGCAGTTTTCTTTGTAATTCCACAAGAAATAGAATAATTTGAGCTTGTCAGACCCACCTGTGAAAAGCAGATGCCCTTGTACACAACTGATCTTCACTCAGCTGGTGAGCAGTGAATACAGAGAATGGACAGTGCAGTTGCTCCAATATTAAATTGCTCTTGTGAGCCTTTCAAGCTGGATTTCTTTCCAACCCACAGGAAATAACTGATAATCCTTTTTTTTTTTTTTCCCAGAGAAGGAATGTGCTGTGGTAGAAATACAGTGTGCAACATAAAGATTAATACATGTCCTTAAGTTAGATAACTGCAAAGGTGTTGACTTTCTCCAACTAAAATGGTGGTAGTGAAACAAGGGAAGTTAATTGTGGGAGAGCCTAGTTGCCTCTTACTGCCATATCTGTTCCTTAGAATAGATAACAAAGTTCCTTAAAACTTAAAATATTTGCTGCGAATTTTCAGTGCTGAGTGTATTATTCAGATTTGCTGCCACAGGCAAGTTCAGTCATAACAGTTCACCTTTCCTGAGCAGAGGGCAGCCTTTCCTTTGGCATCTTTTAAATTTTGAGAACTTTCTGCTTTAACTATAACCTTTTTCTTCTCTAAAGAAATTCTTCATTTGTGCAGTCAGCTGGCTGATTCAGTGTGCAGCTGAAAAATGATCACGAGATGAGTGTGTGTTCAGTCCTGTTCCTGATGGGTTTTAAAAAGCGCCGACAGCTTGAGTTAAACACAGCAGTGGTTTTCAGTATGTGCCTCTTTGTCTCTGTACAGGATTCCTGTGCAGGAGGTCCTGTGAGAAAAAGCTCTATCAGCCATTGGAAAGAAAAGAAATTTTATTTTAAGATTTTAAGGAACAAAAAGATCTCGCAAGAAATAGCATAAGAGGATGCTTAAATTCTCTGGGTAACCAGGAGAAAGGTAGAACAGGAGTAATGTTAATGTAAAGTATTTTGGGTAAGTCATGATCTTTCTCAAAGATTTTGGTAGAAGTAATGTTCTTAATTTTTCTTAAATATAATATTTTTTTAATTACCAAACAGGTTGCCAAGTACTTTTGTAGTCTTGTAATATTATTTTTCAATTATTTTCCAATTTCAACTATTTCCAATAACTTGCTTGTATTAGTAATCAGTTAAAGCAATTTTTTAAATAAACAATGATTAGAATCTGTGAATTCTTATCTCTGGAAGCTCCATACCCACCAAAAGCAAAATGTGAGATAGATATACACCAAATAAGTTGATATTCCTGTATTTAAAGCACCCAGAAGCATCATTTCTCTGTAGGTGATGAAATGAGATGGGTGGGCTTCCCCACCTACTTTACAGACCTGCTCTGGATGGAAGGGGGGTTTCTGGAAATGCTTTATCCCCATCAGGTGTGGTGAGTGCCCACTGCTGGGCATCCCATGGCCAGCAGGTTGAAGTGCCAGGAGCTAATCCCCACATCCACATTGCTTGGAAATGGAACCAGTGCCTGCCAAACTGGCTGGGAAAAGGTGCTGCTTTTAACAGCACAATTTCAGGACACCTCTGGTCTCTAATTTTTCCTTTACATTGAACCACAGGATCACAGAACCATGGAATGGGTTGGGTTAGAAGGGACCTTAAAGCCCATCCAGTTGCACTCCCTGCCATGGGCAGGGACACCTTCCCCTATCCCAGGTGGCTCCAAACCCTGTCCAGGTGGCATTGGGCACTGCCAGGGATGGGGCAGCCACAGCTGCCCTGGGAACCTGTGCCAGGGCCTCAGCACCCTCACAGGGAACAATTTCTTCCCAATATCCCATCTCACCCTGCCCTTTATCAGTGTGAAACCATTCCCCCTTTTCCTGTCACTTCTCTGTCTTCCCATCTTGAGATGGGAGATAGTGGCTTTTAAGAAACCCAGTTCAGATGCTGAGTAAAACCCCACCATTCTGAGGTCATTGTCTCCCCTGTCTCACATTTTCAAAGACTTCATGCGCTTTCAGCCCACTGTGTCTGTCAGGGGATTGTAGCAATTCTTGAGACAGGTAGCAGAATAGGAAAAGGTGGAATGCTAAAGGAAGGAATGCTAAAGGAGCCCTTTTGCAGGTATATCTGGGATTGATTAAACCTAGGCATGCAATACTCTGGATATAACTCTTAAATTATTTTGTTAAAGGTTTTTAAATTTTTTTTTGTGTTGTTTTTTATGAGAGGGAGCTGCTTCTGTTCTGTGCAAACTCCAGAGTGCACACTGTTGTTGAAAAGTAAGTTTTAAGAACATGTTGTTTTCAGTGTGAATGTGGAGCTGCTGGTCACAGGCACACAGACTGCCTGAAATTCACAGGTTCATGCAGCACTACTACAAATACTGCTTACAGGATAGTAGTTTAAAGAAAGTGCCCTGTATCTTTCTCCCATTTCCAGACATGGTTCAGCAGCCTGATATGATCAGTCAATACCATGAGACCACTCAGCCGTGTTTGGAAGAGCTTCACAAATCGCAGGCAAGTTTAGGGCTCCTGAGCTGGTTGATGTAATCAGGACATGCATCTATAAAACTGATTTCATACAGCCTG